GGGGGGGAGTGATGGCGAAGGTGAAGAAACGACGTTCGGGGGAGGACGTGGAACGCGCGTAGGATCTGCCGGAAGTTAAAATCGCAGATCCTGTCAGCTGGAAATAAAAGACGCTCTTGGAATACACCAGATTGTATTTATAAGAATGTTATATTTTCTCGGTAGTAATGGGAGCTGCCTCCCCCCTCGCGAGGGGCAGGCGGTCGTTAATGTTATTAATAGAGCTCTAGGTAAGTGATATTATATACAGATGGATAAAAAAAATGGGAAAGTATCGTCCCCTGTCTTCTCTGTCCTACAAAGGGGACAATGTCCTTCTCGCCCGTTACTGCTCGTCTCTGTCGTCCAACTTCTCACCCTCCGCCGTGTCGCAGGACCTTTGTACTAACGTGGTGCGACAGTCGTCGGGTTCGATCCGTTGTTCCTCGATATTTTACAAGTGCTCGATGTAAATCAATTTCCCGTTACGCGTACTTTCTCCCAGATTTCCCACATCTTGGTTAATTATCATTTTTAATTAACTGTAATAATAATCGTCTCTCTCAATCGATCTTCAATATACAAATATCTATATATATAGGATTTATAATGGATCATTAAATCATAATAGTATCTGAAAAATGTCGCTAGTTGTGACGCGGACGAGCATAATCCATTATAGTTATTTTCAAGTGCAACCGGCCGCGAACGAGAGAAAGCCCGGATGTGATGCGAAAATGAGACGGATCGGTATTTCTGGCGTCGCGGGAAATTGTTCACAGTTAATAGCGTTACGAGCTCGCAGTTAATAATGCCGCGGCGGCAGAGAGCGTTTTCTGCCGGTCTCCTTTCTGCCTCCGTACGATTACGAATGTATGCCGTGTTTGGCGTTTGGTATAGATAAGCGCCGCCTGTATTTTTGGCATTAAAGCGTTAAAGCTAAGTGACTAAGCCCCCTCGCTTTGCTCCGACGGGAGCTCGTGACTCTCGGACAGTGGCGGATTATGGGATACTTAAAAGCCTCCGCCGTAAACCACTTTGAGTCTATCTCTCTCTCTCATTTATTACCAATTATGAAAATTTAAAATTGAAAAAATTAATATAGCATTAATTGGACAAATTAGCAAAATTTTCGAGAATAATACGTTTTATCAAATTTCGAAAGTTCATATAATAATCCGCCGCTGCTCTTCGCCGTCGCAGAAACTCGCCGACGGGTGAAGCTTACGAAAAATAATTCGCCATGACTCGTCGGGCTGTCTAAAACCAAATCTTTTCGTAGCGCTCGCTCCGAGGGATCCTTAATCTAATGTGTTTAATTAATCTTTGGTATCGGTCGTCGCGTGAACCAATGGCGCGTCTGACTGGCGACGTAACACGCAACAGAAATTTCGCGAGACTAGAAGGACCACTAAGAGAAACATAACCGAGTTTGGGATCAGAAATTAAAAATTTAATATTAATTTTGGAAACGAATGTCCGAAGGGAGTTGGGACGTCACGCTCCCGATTTTCTTTTTTTCGAATCCGAAATATGAGAAGACTGTCGTTTCACCTCCACTCTCCTTCGTGGCTTTCGCGCTTTCGGCAAGCTGTAAAATGAGAGATCGCGGGATTATGGCACGTGTTACAGAACCCCTCACATTCCCTTCGCTCTCGCTAAGATATTCCGGAATCCGACGCTTTTACGTCCTTTCGCATGGACGACGGCGGTATCACGAGCAAGGGACAAGAGTCATTTCGGTGGGCCTGCGTATACTGTAATTGTTCCATCCTCTCTCGTTCTCGCGGAGTCGAATACGACACAGATATATTTACAGGCGACTCCGCCGTTCGCACACGCACACACGTACGCACGCACGCACGCACACACATACACACATACATGCATGCATACACGCAATTTTCACATTCACTCCCATCTGCTAGAGAAATATATCTTACACGAATTATCTAATTTATTCTTACGTGTGTCGAGTGTTTTATCGTATCTTACAAGACGCGTACGTGCATCGGCAAACAATGCAAAAATCTGAGAGACGCCTGAAAGACATCTGGGGAATTTTACGACGTCATTTATACGTTTGCGTTGCCCAGGAGAAGTGTGCGTGCGTATGCGTGTGTGTGTGTGTGTGTGTGTGTGTGTGTGTGTGTGTGTGCGCGCGCGCGCGCGCGCGCTTATGTATCGGTGTATGTATCTGTATGTATCTGTGTATCTGCGGTAAATATGGTGTGTCTCGAGCTCCAGCTCGCGCCACGCGCGCGTCCTACGCTGTATTAACATTATCTTCCGTTAAATTTGTGTCCATTTTCCACGATCACAGTGATTTCAATCTCCAGACTTATCACTCTGTCTTCGAATGAAGCCTCGAATTCGAAGTTCGCCCGAATCTTCGCACACTTGACACTTCTTCCCCTTCCCCCGCTCGCTATATATCAGTTCTTTATTTCAAACCTTTCTTCGTCCATCTCGTTATTCTCTACGCAATGTATACCTTTCTCTCTTCTTCCCGCTGCTCGAAATCCACGATTACAGTCCAGCGAGGAAAACTTCCATCGGCTTTAATAACCGCTGAGACACCTGAGCTTCTTCAAGGGCGGCGAAGCCTCGTTTCAGCTGGTTGGCGCCTGCATGGACATCGGGGGTGGCTTCACGGGGCCGAGGGCGGGCCCGGACAGGCCGTTGTTGTTCATATCACCAGGCGCCCTCGGTCCGCCGACTCCGATAGCCGTCCCGTTCACCGTCGGCGTGCCGCCTGACATTTGACCCTGAAATCATAAAAGTTCGCGAGACGTGAGACGTCGCTTCTCACGTTGCAAGAGTGGTTATTGCGAATCTCAATGCGCGACAAATTATGCCAGAAGGAAAAAGTCTAGCTTTCTTACACGGAAAAATTACCACTTTTAGATATAAAATATATTTATTCGAATTCGAGCTTAAATAAATATCCTTTTTATGTGATGATATTAAAATAGAAAAAAATGTAAGATGTGTGGAATCAACTATAGTATTTCGTTTGTTCTACTAGTTTACAACATTATTAATTTTTATTTACGCTCGCGTCGCGGATTCATCCGAGTTTGTTTCTTTATTGACCAGAATTACTCGCGCGGTTTGTTGGCACTTACGTTGGGCACGTGATTGTGCTGGGCCACCGACTGCCCCAGACCTTGATGAGCTTGGAGCGAATTGTGTCCCGGATGCATATTCTGGCCCGGGGGCGTCGGTGTGGGAGGGAGTTGTCGTTTGATGTATGCTAATGAGGCGGGTGACTGCAACGCCATATTAGCGAACGCTAGCCTCTCCTCGTAATCGTACTCGCAGAGAATCTTGTTCTCGCACAAGTAAAACCGATCGCCCACGCAAAACCTGCAAATAAAAAAAGGGAACACGCTGTGTGTCGGCCATCGGAGATGCAATCCGCGCCGATTTGCTCAACATTTTTTTCGAAAATATCGAGCTACGTTTCTCCGCTGCTTACACCCGATGATTACACCCCAATTGAAAATATTCGTAGAAAAGAAACTTAATCCTCGTCATCATTATCAGAAGTGAGTAAAAAGATCGCGCACGCCAATTGCTCGTCGGTCGTTAACCGCGCGAGATTTAGCTGGCTCGTCGATCCCGAAAGACCCAAAAGAGAGATCCGAGGAGAACGCGATTAACAAATGAGGCTCGATCTGCGACCCTTCTGCCGGTTCATTGTTCCAAATCCGATCGATCGATCGGCGAAGGGAGGGAGGGACAGGGGAGGAGGAGGGGAAAAAGGAAAGAAAGCGAATAAAACGAAGGGGAGCGGTGAAAAAGGAGTTCCGCTGGATAACGAGCATA